ACAGGGATTCCAAAGTTGGTCCCACGGTATGACAAATGTCTCACTTCCGGTGGCGAATATGTTGAAAAATAGCTGGACACTTGCTGTATCTGTTGCAATAAATATTTCCATGAAATTGTGTTTTGTTTCTGTAAACGGCCCCAGGGAAACTTACTTTGTGGACGAGCCTCGTAAATCACCCATTTTCACAAACCTTCAATGAATCAACTGGACATCTTTCCGTTCGATAGGTTTTTCGTAATTTTTCATGCTGTCTCGCCAAGCAAACTTCTAATGTGAGAATAATGCTACCGCCTTTTACTGTTGGGTCTTGTAATTGTGTACAGCGAAAGATTTTTCATAGCTTTTGACGTACAAGTTGTATCAAGGTAATTTTCATTGGGAAAATAATATGGCGACCACGCGAAATATTTGAACTGTATGACGATATTTGACTAACCAGTGCAGTTAATAAATTTTATATCTCTGAAGTAGAGACTTTGAGAAGCTAAATTGTCGTTCAGCTTGTCAACAATTCTACATTTTTTTAATGGTACCTGCAGGTTCGTTACTTTGTTTACATGAGCCCACCACTGGTCCTTGTTACGAGTCAGATGGATCCATTTCCCCTGTTTATATTAAAATCCTGCCACCTACTCCCATGTCTGATACGCATTTTGTTTCCTTCGAGTTGTTTAATTAAAATTTTTGAATGCGTTTTTCATCTTTTCCTTACGTTCTACATGCCTACCCATCTCATCGTCCTCAATTAATTATATGACGTATCGTGTGAGTGAAAACCTACAAGGTCTAGTTTGGAACATGAAAATTTATCAAAACCTTTGTTATGCAACGTAACACATAGACAGATCCATCCGTTGAGGCATTTACCATTGCGATGTGCGTAGCGAAATTATACGAATTTTTCCGAAGCGTGTCCCCCTCCATCGGGGTTAGGTTAGGTTAGGTGTTGTCACTCTGTAGCTAGGCACTGCGTGGAATGGAACCGATTATAGCATCGTTGAGTGCTCATCCACTTGCCAGTCATTTTACTCGGCAATGAATAAACTTAAGGGCATGGCATGAATTAAGCTCGTCCACCTCAACAAACAATAAACTGTTGTGTGTCAGTGTTCGAACACACACACCGATACAACCCCTCGTATTCCATGTTCTTCGCACGATTCGCATAACACAAACGCGTATGTGTCTCGTCATGTTTGTCCGTCTGTCAACATATCCGAATGATTCAATTCTAGAACCGTCGGACGGATTTTGATGAAAATTTGTTTTGAGGTTGTGCAGTTGGGGATACCATCAAATCGTTCCTTTCAATTTTATACAATCGATAATACCAACATGGCGGGCTAACAAATTTGTGAGGTGGAATCGACACTTGCGCCACTTGAAATAGGGTCAGGCAGGTTAGATTTTCGGAAAATACAAATTTTTGGAAAATAATTCTTTGTGTTGTTTAAAGCAACAACATGCCGGCTTCATGAAAAATTTCCTAGGATACTGGGCGTGAATCCGATATGATGTCACAGAGGTAAAGCGCAGTCTGGTTTTACGGTCTCTGAAGAAAACTTCTAGAAGACGTAATTTGAAAAGTTATGAACTAAAGTTGTCCAAGCACAAGATAACTGACGTAATGTTTAGTTAGCAATCCACATTTTTCAAAGATTGAATACACAATTGTTTTAAATTAAAAGACAAGTTTGTCTCGTGTTTGTGTTACGTATATTGCAAATGATGAATGACTTATTGCCGACAGTGCAGTCATACGTAGAGTATGTTCCCCTATTCTTGCTAATGCATGCGTCAATCATTGCTCCGATACGAAAGTGTGGGACGGTGAAGCACGGAGCTCTCTTGGACGGAGTGGAGGGGGGGTTTCCAGAATGTAGTGATAACACTGTTGGTGACGTCGCGGTGTTCTTGCGCAGTTGTGCCGATAATATGGGATCTAAATAGGCGAGTTACCGGCACGTTAGTCAGAGTTGTACGCGTGTTTGACTTGGGAGGATCGCGAGGTGGTTCTTCGCACAGTCAGAGTTGTACGCGTGTTTGACTCGGGAGGATCGCGAGGTGGTTCTTCGCACGATTCCGGCAGACAGTTGCTAATATTGCCCAGTGCTACAAGTGCATAGCTTGAATCATCTGTTGTTTCGTCAGTGAAATATATTTAGAGCATTTCCATATTACGGCTACACTTGAAAGGAATCCATTTAATTGTACCGTAATTTAAAAATCAGACTTTACATTGACTATTAGCTTGTTCGTGGTTTGTGCTTGTGTATGTTGTTACTTCGTTGGAAATTGTGAAGGTGAATGTGAGGAATATTGTTTCACGAAACTGAACGTTTTTGTGCTATTGTCAACTGTGCAAGCTGTAAATACAGATTGTTTTAAACTGACTTGAACTTGTGATTCATGTTTTGAGAGATATATGCACATTATTGCCGGTGTTCTTTGAAAGGCTTTTGTGTTATGCTGATAAATGCATTTTTTTTGGTAAAATCTGGTTGTCTTTCGGAGCTCATTTGGCGTAACGGAATGATAAAATATGGCGACTTTCTAATTTCGTAAAGGTGGATAGTCAGTGACGTGAAGAAGCCATAACCTTGTGTTTCTCACGGGGTCTAAAACTGCCACAGAATATATGGCTTATCCAACTTTTCGTGGAATATCTAAACTTATCTCTAATCGGGAATTAAATTTATGAGTCGATTGTGAATACCCAACATTTGTTATCGAGGACAACAAAAGAAAATTAATTGGTGTTTTTTATCTCGAGTCTCTCAATTATCATTTATTTAAAAGTAATCGGATCGTGTTTCACCACGGATGATGCGAAGAGACTATCAAAGGACTTGATGCTGTGGCCTGGAGCTATCTTCCCTGTGGACTTGTACCGCGGCGCTAAGACTTGTGTGGGCGAACGTTCTGGCGTCCTGACGTTGCCCAGGCAACGTAATGGCGAGGAACACAACAGATTCCGTGGCATGTTGCTTCCTTGCCCGTGTACGGGTCCGCCCCGCATGGCAAATAATCGCGACAAGCAGCGGGCAAAGACACAGTGGTACATTAAGGTAGGACAGTGGTACAGCTGCTGTAGATGTGTGCGTCATAAAAACTTGTACGTTTACAGTGAGGCGACCAATATAGAATGTCTCTTTGACGTAGTTTCACTTTCCTGGATACCGTATGTCCGAATTGTACCGGGTCTACAATTTATGAGGCTGCGTCCGCCCACATCAACAGAGCGCCGGCCGACCACGCAATCCAAGCACGACCGCAGCCTCATAAGTTGTAGACTCGGTACTGTGGAAGGGAAAACGAATATGCTTATCTCTTACCTTATATTCGTACAAACAGATCCAACCAAACACAGCGACTCGTTAGGTTGTACGAGTATTGGGTTTATTTGGTTTGTGTTTGTGTTGCACGTATTAACAGGAATTTTTGTGAGAATTTTAGCAGTAAATGACGTCTCGTAAATGCTGAGAAGGCTCAAATACATGACCGCCATATGTTTAAACTGTTCCCATACAAATAGGCGAAATATTAGCAATCTGACGGACAGTTACGTTTGTTTCCTTAGCTTGCAGCATGTTTTGACTCATTTGACATTATTTACCAATAGATGTCTGTAGCTATGCCAGCGAATTTAAAACAGTTGTATTTTCTCGCATTTAGAAATGTGTTTCTCCACCAAATCCGAATTCAGTGACATGTTTGTGTAGTTTCTTTTCATTTACTTTATGTTGGATATAGTAAATATTCCAAAAGACATTTTATCAGCGTGGTAGTGGGTGAATGCCAAATAGGTCCAAATACATGTTCATCTTATTTGTAGAGCATGAGGGGGGATCTTAAATGGCGAAGAGATGAGCGCATTATTCATTGTAAGGTATGGTGTTTTACTGATACCGGTTTGTTGATTTTAACACACAGCGTCTTCAAAATTAGTCCTACTTTAATAGCAGAGATTTGCTTATTGTCTGTTGCTGTCGACATAAGCTTTAACCTTGGAAGTATCAGTGGAGATTGTGTGGGTGGGGGGACATATGGACCTTGTCAAAAATACAAGGTTTTAACTCTGCATGTCGTAACGTTTCAACAAACTTCTTTCAGTTGATGAATTTCTAGCCACAGATTTGCAGCCATCGGTCTTCCACGTGGTACCGCAATGTTAAGGTCATTTTTTTTTTTCTGAGTAGCAAGCTGTAGACTAATGTTTGTTTCCTATTCTGCGTAAATTTATAATCTGATCGGTGATCCTTGTTTGAACGACCGAACGTCGGAGCGGAGGGG